TTACCTATAGAACGAACTAACTCTTTCTACAGGAGAGCTCGGGACACCCGGTATATTCCACAATTCCGTTAACCGTAATACAAGCACCTACGGTATCATACGAACCATCGACCCAAAGAATTATTAAAATTCGATCTTCACCTATCATTAACGGGACAGGCGTCGTCCCAGAGTTAACGAATTAAGAATACGTTAGTTCCAGCGCGTCCCGCCAGAGTTCGTACGCTTGTTACATCCCCTGCAGCCTCCACGCGCTTCCCCAGTGTCCATCACATTCTTATTTCTCTTTTCGTTCTCTCGACCGTCGGTTCCTTGTTCCCGTCCGTGGAATTATGCAACCATGCAGGCATATCAATAATAATTACGAAAAAGTCGTGTTACCATCATTGAACCGCGGTGTCAGCGGCGGTCAAGGCGACCGTGTCCAGGGTTTCGATTGACACTTCCGTGCATGGGCTACCTGGCGGATGCGGTTCCGCATTCGCAACGCTCGGGCGTGTGTGTTACGAGAGTCGGACATGACTGGAGACCACGTCCATGAATTCGCTTCGGTCCGAATAATGCTCCGTTTGCGCGCCTTTCAGTTTACAAATGTGTTTCTTAATATCCTTTATTCTTTATTGCCTTTCTCTTTCATTTTATTCTTGGTTCTTATCTCCACGTTTCTCGTGCTCATCTGTTGTCTGTATTTGGAATTAATAGATACTGTGACGCGATTAGAACTAATATTTAAATATTAACATTATCATTATATGTGTCATTAATCCTTTGCATTGTACGTGATAACAGAGCGACATTAGTAATTTTCAATTTATTTATGTTTGTTTTCAAGGTTGAGGATGAAGAATCGAGTAAGACTGTTATATTAACTTTTTGCTATTTGAGAATATTTTGATTTAAAATAAATTTTTTTGAAATTAGAAATTCGTAAAAAATTGGAATTATCTGTGAGTTCTTTATGAAGTAGTATTGCTCACTTTTTCATCATGATTGATAAAGATAAGACAAAGTAATAAATTGCTAATTAATCATGTTGCCATAGTCCCGATACTGAAATGCAGAGTTAATAGATACGTAGGTATTTATGGTTTTTCTCTTTTTAAAACAAATTTTTTAGATTCGAGGAATTTCCTATTGCAAATGTATATTGATATGAGTGCAAAGAGTTAATGATACAATAATTATAAATATTATTAACACTTTGCACTTGGCTTTCCCTTCGTGCCAGAAATTTATTAAACAATTCTAATGTTTCTACTAAGAGTTCATGAAAAAATTATTGGTAATTATAATATAAAATTCTAATATAAAAGTCAAATATTATTTGAACAGAGTAACTTATCACTTTGTTTAAAACGATTCCTTTTCCAAGTCCCCTTTTGCAAAAGGCTGATAATATAATAACAAAACGTAAAATTAATGATTGGTAGAGTGTATTTTGTTTAATTTTTTATTTCATGTTAATATTTAAATTTTGTTTCAATGAAACTTCGAGATGTCTAATGGGAAATATCTTTATATTAGTTATGGCAAATATTCTGTACCTTTATAAATAAAAAATAGCTTAGATTTTTAAATAATTGCGATCATTCTGGTATTTATTTGATATTAATAATTTTTCTTCGTTTTTTGGTCATATTGATCCAGCAATTATCTCTTTTAGATTTTATATTTTTTAAAATGGAAATTTTTTTACGGTATTTGATATTATTTTTTTTTAAATCATTATTATCTTAAATATTATTTTATATGTGATATTACTTTTTATATGCAGTATGTACTAACATGAAAATGATACTGATGACAAAATTTATTTTAGTCAAAAATTATTTTAGTAATTTCAATGTAATTTTTATCAGGCTGAAAATTGAAAACAATATAAAATATTAAATATGCTCCTTTTCGGTTGCTATTGTATTCAAAATCGTTTCCTGGATAATATGACAAACATTGTAATAAAAGACAGGATATCTCAAAAATTATAATGCAAATATTATGTGCGGGTTAAAGAATGCTAAAATATCTTAATCTCAAGTATTTTTATAGACCATAAAACTAAAAGCATGGAACTGTCTTTTACTATCTAATTATTTCCATGGGGATGTATAAAGCTGCACCTTTTTGGAAAAATAAATTTCTTTAATTCAAATTGAAATTGTACAAACGAATAGCTTTTTAGATTTTTAGATTACTGTTATTTTTATAAATAGAGGGAAATGAATTTCTTTTTCTTTTCATATGTTAAATATCAGTATAAAAGCAAATATATAAAGAGAAAATGAAAGTATATTCTTTAACAAAAGCTGTAGCTGTAGAAGTCAAGATAATTACTGATTGATGACATATTATCTTACAGCATTTATAGATATAATAGATATAACGATTCTTAAATGATTGTAGTTCTGTAGTAGATTTTGTAAGACACGTTTTAAAATTGTCTATATTCTCATATAATGTCTTATACAAATCACTAATATATTTTAAATTAAATTTTTCTTAAGGAAACTATATAAATAAGACATTTTTGATTTAATTGAAACTTTAAACCGTACCTTATTGTACAACTTTCCTAGTTTTTAAGTGCTAATTAGAATATAAAATTATTATATTATCGTTAAATTTGACATTGATTTAGAATTTTTTCTTGTCGCATTTTTAATATATACATTTTTATTAGGATATTCATTAAATTTTTAGGATATTAATTAAATAGTTCATTAAATTATTAATTAAAGTCAATTGATTACACTCTACCAATCAGACAATGCATATTTTATGCTACTTATTAAGAGATAATTTTCATTTTTATGTAACATTTGATCTCTCAGTTTCTTCAAAAAACTAAAAATGTTAAAAATAAAAAAATCGAGAAAACAACCAATTTTGATAATGTATTATTATTCCAAAGTATACATAAAAATATGTGATTAAATAAAAATTATTTGAAATTTGCTAAAAATTACATATGAATTATTTAAAGGAACGTCATTTCTTGGTATAATTAATTAATTAACTTATTAATTTTATAGTTGAACATGAATATGTTAACGATATTTTTAACAAGATAATGTTATATTGTTTCAATTCCCAATGTGTGTTTAATTATTCTTATTTTACATACAATATCCATTTCCTTTGTTTCCTTGTGATGTTAAAGGTCTTCCTAAATCATCGAAAAAATCATTATTATTTGACATTGCTGTAATTAATAAATCTGCTACATTTATACCTGTTATGAGCTACAAATATTCGAATATATCGCTTAATACCTTCGATTATCTCCTTTGATAACCAATAACCGTTATAACTTTTTGTTTCTTAGAATCATTCTCGAATCTGAAATAAAAAGGAAAAACTATAAAGATAAAAGGAAAATATCTCGTTCTATTCAGATACGCTATTTGCTTTATTTTATACAGACGTATTATTTCATGAATATTCCATCTGTAATTGAACGATACTGAAAAACACGTATAGATTGCAACATGATATACTTTGATTAAATAACATCTGTTGCCTTGGAAGCCTTACGAGGAATCTCGTTAAAAGTATTTCTTTCGAAGAATCTGTTCTAAATTTTACTCTCTTCTATATTTAATTACGCTCGGTAAACCAACTTCAAGTAAGAACCTCGTTTGCTAAATAATTGCAACATTCGTCACGCTATTAACCATCTGTACTCATTAATATTCCAAGTTGCGTTAATCAAAATGGCGGTCTCCAGTTACGACAAAGGTATAACACTTTCATGGTGTCCAACATATTATTCAAAACTAAAAACCATTTCTATAAGCAGCTAATCTAATAAAAATAAATAACGCTAGAACTATTTAATAACATGTACCTAAGTATTATATACAGGGTGAGTCATGTAACTTGTCCACAGCTATTCTCTCAAACATTGACACAGAAAAGAACACGTTACATTGCACAAAATTCAAGGTCACCTTAAATATCTTATAAACAAATAAATTGTACAATAGGAATCACTTTCGCATCGTATGTTCTCTCTAACACCGTGCAATTTTTATTTCAAACATTTTTTGGTGGGACGCATTCTTCTGGACTGGTTATACGACTCATCCTGTATATTGCATACGGATAATAATAAAGCGTCATGCAAATAATTAAATACGTGTAATTATGTTCTGATTTCATTAAAGGTCGACAATAATTTTGCTAAAAGCAGCTGCACGATTTCATTAACTTGAAAGGAGGTCTGAAGGCAGGCACTTTGATTGATTTTGGTAGTTCTAGTGTTTAATAATTAATCAATTTATAATCAAGCGTTGAACAGTGAGAAATTCTCGGAGTAAACAATTTCCTGATGATGTCAGTCAGTAGCTGAAAAAGTGTGTGCGTTGCTTATTACCTTCCAACATATAATTCCATTTTTCCCTTACACGCTGAGATAAGATATACGCATACCTCTGCGAGTACAAATAATCGTGTCGATCGAAACGTCATCGCAATAATCATTTACCATTTATAAAATATCTACACCCATGTCTATCGCGTTTATATCTTCCAGTGACTAATAAAAGAAAATTCAATAAAGATTTCACGTGTATCGCGTACTCTCTATGTACAAGATCGTTAATTCACGAGGACATGTATCAAGGAAGAGATAATCCCGGACCATAACAAATAATCTTTTATCGATTGCCCAAATCGAGAGTCCATTTGGCTAACGAGATATCTTAATGCTCGTATTATCGTGTCACAATGTTCACCTGTAATGTGATAAAAAATTCTATCAATCACATCGTTGTCACGTTACCGTTTATTATCACCTAATTATGTCATGAGAATTTTCTAACCCTTTATTTTGCATGCAAACGTCACCCAGTCCATTAACTATATCGATGAGAACGCACACTATGCACGTTTCCGTACGATCGGGTGATTCAGTTTGTTATTTTATTTTTGGAACATTCTATATTTACCCCCGAGAAAATTTCCCCTTACGCACGGTACTAATAAATTCACGAACATTTTAGGTGATGAACCAGGAAGTCAAGAAAGAGACGCCGCTGCAGTTCAAATTTCGCGCCAAGTTCTATCCAGAAGACGTTGCCGAGGAATTGATTCAAGATATCACATTGCGCCTGTTTTACCTTCAGGTATGATTCGAGATAACCGGTGCTTTCTCTTTTACACGTTCTATCTTTAGAACAGAAATTTTTAATCTTTTTTATCCCATGGTACATACAAATTGAGTATTAAAATTCTGTGATATGGAGGAGTATACATTTACGATTCAACGCCGCCGCCATTTTTTTCGTTTGGCAACGGTAAACGAAAAGAGATCCGTGTCTCTCATTAAATAATCTGATATTGCATATTTTAGAGATCCTCATGGCAGGACTAAAAATTTGCTTCTGTATAATTCTTAGATTTCTAGAAAATTTTTGAGAAATTATGAAGCCTGAAATTGGTAAAAATACAAGAGCTACTAATTTAAGGGGTACCAACTTAATTATTTAGAGATTAAATTAACGAACTAATGTTACAATAATTTCTGTTTCTATGGAATGGCAGAATATATTATTGGATTGTGTGAAGACTATAAAATGGACTAGTCTTTTTTATGAGAAGATGTTTTTAAAATTCCGTTCTTAATGCAGTATGTATTTCGCTTAGTACCAAAAAATGTTACTTAATAAATTTTGTGATCCAAGTATCAAAATTAATTTACAGAACATGACTTTTACATGATTTAATTGTTCTTTTGTATATTTTTAATGATTTTTAAATGGTAATTTCAAAATGATAATAAACCAGCGTCGATTTATACTGATCGTAAAATTTAAGTTCGTACACATGAATATTACATAAATTTTATTATATTTTAGACATTTTAATACAATTACAATTTTATTATTTTTACAGATAATTGCAGTTAATTATATTCTTTACGTTTTGTATTGTTATTGTTTTAAATAATCATTTCCTGTATAAATTCGGACTTTTTAAAATTTCTAATAGTCAATGTATTTGTAACGAAGATATTTACTTTGTATTAAAAAGACTATAGTCCAAGTACAGTAGTTGCAAGTATGAAATATATTAAGATATTTGATGTCAAATTTGAACAAGTTGATTTTTATATATTTTTATGACGCTCTTATTTTTATTATAACACAAATTTCTTTGATTTACACCAACAATTTGAAGAATATAGTAAAAGAACAATAATCATTCCTCTATTCGGTATTGTTAGCAGAATTGCATTACAACGAAACAAGATTGAGTACATAACTGCATATTATCTTTCAAATTATCTCTGAACTAAATCAACGTGAACGGTAGTCATGTAGATATTGTATTATACATTTAACATACTTTCATGTAAACTTGACCAGTTTTGTTCCTTTTTTCAAGTAAAAATTTATCATTGTATTTCTTAAAACTTGTACCTTTGAATCAGATTAATATTTATTGAAATTGATATGGATTTTGTTAATTTATATTTTATAATTTAATAATACAAATATATTTATATTCTATATAATAATAATAGCAAAGAACAATAGAAATTTTACTTTTCTTTTAAACAATGTAATGTTATTATATATGGATTGTATTTAGGTAAAGAATGCAATCCTTACGGATGAAATCTACTGTCCTCCGGAAACATCAGTATTGTTAGCCTCATATGCAGTTCAAGCAAAACATGGAGATTTTCAAAAAGGTACACATACTGCTGGCTTTTTGATAAATGACCGCTTGCTGCCACAGCGAGTCGTCGATCAACATAAAATGAGCAAAGAGGAATGGGAGAGTTCAATCACTAATTGGTGGCAAGAACATCGTGGCATGTTACGTGAAGATGCTATGATGGAATACCTAAAAATTGCGCAGGTAACGATTAAATAATTCTTTTATTTATTATGTATTTATTATTTATTATGTAATTAACATCTTTTTTGTTGTATAGGATCTGGAAATGTACGGAGTAAATTATTTTGAAATCCGTAATAAAAAAGGTACAGATCTTTGGCTAGGTGTTGATGCTTTAGGTTTGAATATATACGAAAAAGATGACAAATTAACGCCAAAAATTGGTTTTCCATGGTCTGAGATAAGGAACATTTCGTTTAATGAGAAAAAATTCATAATTAAACCAATTGACAAAAAGGCACCAGATTTTGTCTTTTTTGCAACTAGAGTTAAGATTAATAAACGAATTTTGGCACTATGTATGGGCAATCACGAACTCTATATGCGTAGACGTAAACCTGACACAATTGATGTACAGCAGATGAAGGTATATTTTTGTAATTACACTTATATTTTATTTTCTATTATTCAATATCTTTTTATTACCTCTAAATAAGAAGATTAATTATACCACGAATGATGAATCGTTATTGTAATTATAAAATAAACGTTAATAATTTAAAGGCGCAAGCAAGAGAGGAAAAAATTGCCAAACAACAACAGAGGGAGAAGTTACAGTTAGAAATAGCTGCAAGAGAACGTGCCGAAAGAAAACAACAAGAATATGAAGAAAGGATTCGAAATATGTCAGAAGAAATGGATAGGCGGCAAGCTGAATTAAACGAAGCTCAAGAAATGATCCGACGTTTAGAAGAACACCTTAGACAATTACAAGCTGCAAAAGAAGAATTAGAGGATCGCCAGAAAGTACGTATGATGTAGTATAAAATGTAATTTCCTTATAACATACATTTCTAAATGTCTTGTTTTTTATGTAAAGGAACTCACAGCTATGATGGAAAAACTGGAACTTTCACATGAAATGGAAGCAGCAGAGCGTGCTAAACTTGAACAAGAAATACGAGCTAAGCAAGAAGAAATACAACGTATACAGTCTGAAGTAGTGGCGAAAGATGCAGAAGCAAGGAGATTGGAAGAAGTATTTGAAGCTGCAAAGTATATAATTTATTTCTTCTTTATCTACAGTATCAGACAAAGAAATTGTATCGTACTTTACATTTCAAATCGGTAATTTTGTTTATATAGATTAAGGCAAGAAGAAGCCGATCGGGCATATCAAGCTAGTACAACGCCTCATCACCATCATGTTGAAGAAAATGAAGAAGGTGAAGAGGAAGGAGAAGATGAGGTTTCTCATGGTGATGTCACTAAAGATCTTGCAACTGATGAATCGATAATTGATCCTGTTGAGGAGCGACGTACCTTGGCAGAAAGAAATGAACGCCTTCATGACCAACTTAAGGTATTCATTTTTGTTTTCATATAATTCTACTACACTCTGAAAAAGCGTTTGTGAATATGTCTAAATAAAAATAATATGTTTCAGGCATTGAAGCAAGATCTTGCACAGTCACGTGATGAATCGAAAGAAACTGTTATGGATAAAATTCACAGGGAAAACGTTAAACAAGGTCGCGATAAATATAAAACGCTTCGTGAAATTCGTAAAGGCAATACTAAGCGTCGTAGCCTTTGAATTCTCTTCCAGTTTCGTGTACACATGAAACACTCAGTAAAGTCACTTATTCTACATGAGAGACGTACACATTTTCTGAATGTCCATACAAAGATGATTTATAAAACTTCAAACATATTGTTTTATAATATTTTTTTGGAGATGTTCCGAGATATATGTCGCTTTCAATTTACAGCGATGTAAAGTTTATGATACATATTATTATATTTTTCGAAGTCGATTCTATACTCTGAGGTACAGCTAAGTAAAAGAGCTCTCATGATTGGCAAGGAACGCGACGAGCGACCAACTTGCGCCGTCTTCCATGTATGCTTCCACGTTGATCACTGTTAAGCAGTTTTTCATAAAGCAAAATGTTTATATATTTTTTCATAACAAGCATAAGTTTTCTTGCTGTTTTAGCTATAATGTATTTAACATTAATTCATAATAACTTTGTTATTTTAGCTATGTTATTAGCTAATGTTGTTTTTTTTCTAACGATACCCATTTTTGCTAAAATATCAAGAAAATGTGTTACATAATTTGTGAATATTATTTTATTTTTGTCCAAGCATTATATACAAGATTCTGAGCACCGGCGCGCCAGTATTTTCTTTTTCAAAGTATTACTGTCGGTCACTAAGCATAACGCCACATATATGACTTCTTTTCATTGATTACCTTCTCGTCGCGGTTCTTATCATGTCGCGTATTGTCCGTCCTTGGTAAGGATTTGCCCGAGAAATATTTTGTATTGTTATTTGCGTCATCACTTACTTCTGTTGACGAATTAAGATTACTTTTGTCAATAGCGGTCGCTATACTTCTACAATGTATACATATCAGTTCCAGTTATATTCTGATATATCATTTTGCTATTTACCAGTAACGAATAGAATTCAAGCAATAGATGAATTAAGATTTTTAAGCAGTGTGGAGCAGTCACCATTATTTTTTAGTAAGTTATAAGCAGTCTCTAAATATTAGCCTAAAATAGGTTGATAATGTACAAGCGACCGCTTAATTTATGAAACATGAAATCAACGATATCCGTCTTCACAATAAATATAGAGATGTAAGCACGTCATACAAACTGTTTGCAAAATTATATATACTACTTTAGTACGAACGAATTTCAACTACTATTTAGTAATTTTATATTGAACACACTCGTGGCCTTTATTGATATACGTATATTGAAATACTAGATACTAATAATCAGTAATATAATATATAGAGATGTAGGGATGTCGCGCGCCTCTTTGTATTGCATACCTTCAACATAAGGTAATTGCGCGGTTCCTATGAAAAGGATAGGTATCAAAGTTCTTGAAAGCATGAAAGGATAAATGTGAGCGAGAATGCGATAATAAAAAATAATGCGTATGAAAGGTTGAATGTTAGAAGAACTATAGTACGTGGCTGTCTGGTACGCCATATATAAATTTTAAAACAGTTCTCTTTTTTAAAAAAGCACTTATACGGTACGACAATGATATTGAACTAAACTGAAACGGGGGAAACTTATAACGGCCTGTAAATGCTGCCAATTTTTTGACGGAATGCAAACAAAGAGCGTTACTGTGAGATGATACAGTTTTTGCAATAATGAAGTAGAAAAAATAATGAAAACGTTTAAAAACTGATCATTGTATCAAAATTCATACTTGATTACATTATCATCACCACGTCTTACAATAAATACGAAAGGAAAGTACAGGAAAAATTACAATAGATATTTTTTGAGTATATTTAATACTACAATTTACAAATTAGTAGTGTTATACTATTATTATTATTATTATTATTATTATTATTATTATAATATTATTATTATTATTAATATTATTGTATTATTATATTATATTATAAATATTATTAATATTTACAATTTAGTAGCGTTATTATTATTAAAACAATATTAAATGAAAATTAAAACAAAGAATTTTATAGTCGTCTATTTATACTTAAAAAAAAATTATTGAATGTGTACAGCAAAAAAAAATATTTCACATCACGTGCTAATTTTAAAAGATAGACAATACCATTTTCATAAAAACTTAGCTGAATATGCTACCCGTTAAACGCTTGGTGAAAAAATTACTTTTGAGACATTCCAAAAAAACGTTGGGGTTTTTCATTGATATATAAGATTTATGAAAATATTGGATTACAAAACAAAAATTTTATCTATATATGCCTGAAATGTACTTAAATACATATATATTTAAAACTACAGCATACATGTACTTTGTTTATTCATGTACAAGGAGTCCACGAATAGCCCTAACGTAAATTGCTAAATAATTTTTATATTTCTTATGAAGGTAATGAATAAAAAGTCAATTTTAACGTTTTTCCATATATTATAAATAGACATAAATTGTGTATATTAAACCTTCGACTCAAAATACAGTTACATAATACCAATTTATATAAATTTAAATTGATATCTTATACCTTCATGAGATTATTAAAGAAATTTAATTCAACGGTGCGCATCACGTTCAAGATATCACGGTGCTATAATTTTTCTTTGTGACATTTCCAAGCGTGTAAGAAAATCACAGGAAAATATGCATTTCTACCTTCTAAACAAATTTTATAATTCTTAATGCTCAATGGTATTTCTTAAATTTTCAACATTTGTTTTTAAATGATCGATTTTTATATTGAGCAAAAATCTTTGTAACAGTATTATGAAATAATTGAAACAACACACGTAAACACACAAGACGCATAGATATTGTATTTTATTGAAAACAATATTTGTTGGTGCGAGGATATATGAAAATCACTTGTACTTTGCTGAAAAAGTAAGACATTGTTTAAATAAAAAAAATCATATCATATGTGTTAGGTGCCTTATTTTGATCCTGATTAAATTCTTCTTGATTTAATCAATTTTAATCACTTTCAGATCTACTAAATGATTCGTGGATAATTAATGTTTGTATTATACAATCGATTTTTATATAATTCGGATTTGAGTAAAAGTACTTTTTTATATTAAATAAAAATCGCGTATTTTCTTGAAATTCTAGTTCACATTAGTTCAATCATATTATTTTTTTTATTAATACAGAAACAAAATATACTTTGAGTTAGGTATAAAATGTTGACACATTTGGTCTCAATATAATTATTAAATGACAAAATTTGTTAAATTATAAGAAATTACATTTAAAGCTGTATAAATATATATCCTTTTGTGATTATAGTAATAATTTCAATAATTTAAAATTGTCTTAATTAATACTAATATTTTTACTATTTTGTCATGTAATCAAGCATATAATGTCTTAAACGTTTAAAAATACCCGCGCTACGATGTGATTGGTTTAATTCTCAAACACCTGTTTAAGTTGTAAATGGCAACAGCGCGTGTATCGCACCTGCGCTATCGTTAGTGAACGACGACAGCGTTGTCGTAAATTTGATGCGTTTGTTACGTCTGAAGAATGTTACGTTACGATAGACGGAGCCATGTTAAAGAAAACTCATTCTCAGGTTCATCTGACGATGATACTAGCTATGTTAGGTAAGTTTTTCAAATGCTCGTATTACCACGTGGTTGTTACATCTTGTACAGTAGTACGAAATAGCACCGGCGAGAATTGTAATTAGTACCGTATCTACGTTTTGTTTACATGTCACCTAACATTTATTCAATTTTTAGTACTTAAAAGCAAATCGTCAGTACATTGCTGTAGTAAATAAAGAGATAGAGAACAGTAGATATGTTTATCATCCATGCGAAGTGAGCGTCGATTTCGAAGTGACGACATTTATCAATATTTCATTGTCACTACATTTCATACATTGGCATTTATTCATGGCAAAATGTCAACATTATGTGATTAAAAACGATCGCAGATGTTGCATAGAAAAGCAATCGTTAATTTTGTTTGTCAAGGTATTTGTTGATTGAGTTGTAAATAGTGTCACTTATAATTGTTATTTTAGTACTATGACACTTATATAGAATATTACTACATCCAATGTATAATTGATCACTTTGTTTCATATATTCATATATTTAATCAGATAATTATTTAATACGAATAATCGAATTTTTTAAAGTTGTTATAAATTTATGTTCGTCTGTATATTTAATATTCGTATCGTCTTTTGTATTAAATTACAATGTATTCGATTGAACCAACTAATACGTAAAATAAATGTTTACTAAATTTGTTGTCGATCTTAGTTAGTATATAATTAAATTAGATTTAATAATATTATGATATCGTATATAAACTCAATTACTTTATATATTGCGTATAGCTCGGAGAATAGAGTCAATTATAAAGTTGAAGGTATTTAACTTGTTAAACATTTTAATAAAACTAATGAATACTTTTCATATGTTTTATAACATTATACAAATTTAAATTGTATAATGTCACAAATATTTAAAAACACTTATTTTTAGATACTATTGTAATTGTTCAGAAATACAGTTTTAGTTCCCAGCGTTTCGGAATTCGATCTGTTTCAACAGTTTATATTTTTGCAGTAGAAGAGGTACAAGGAGTCCGTCGAACGAATTCGATGAGTCGATTCAAGAGATGTGCGATATTTATGGACAGACACCTCCGAGAACTCGGTTGAATCGTAAGAAAAAATACATGAGACAAAAACTCAGTGGAGGGTAAGTTAATTAGTGTATATTTTTCATTTATTTCTTCGATATATTGTTATATTAGATTTTAATATTTATTTTCAGAACTAAGACAAAAATTTTAGATATAACAAAGAATAATAAGATTTTTCAAATATTTCTTTTCAAATACAATTTTCTATGAGACATTTTAACATCATGTGATTATTATTTTTAATTTAATAACGATTATATAAAAGTTATAAAAGATTAAAAGTTACTAAAATATTATTCAAAAATTGGTAAATTTCCAATAATTTATTGGAGATACTATTTATAAATGTTATGATTATGTATTTAACATAATTTGTCAATTATACATAAGATTATAATATAATATAATAGAAAGATTATAATGAACAAATTATTTGATTGTAAAAAAATATGGTAATAAAAAATAAATGACTATTCAATGATTATTCAATAATATAAAATTATATGACAATAGCATAGTACATTTTTATATGGAATTATGTATTTTATTAATGCAGATGATTAGATCGAAAAGATATAGATAGAAAATAAAAATTTATTTAAAGTAGAATAAATTTTTAAATAAACTTAAATAAACTTAGTTATTTAATTTGTTATATACTTCTTCCAATTTTAATCATATTGAAGCAAAAAAAACAGTTTAATTTAAAGGTACATACTAATTTGGTACTCCTAAAGTAAATTTCCAATATATTTTATCATAACAATGAATCTAATGGAGAACATTAAAAATAGCTATTTCTGATAAGCCACTTTGTACATATTTGTATAAATGTATAGAATTCGATCTTTATATACGTAAATCCTATTTTGTAAACGATATAAAATACATAGATGTTAATATGTTGTTACAAAAGTCCGTGATATATAATTAGCATATATAAGTCTATTTCAAAGCAATCTGCTGTGAATCATTTTTGCCTGTAAAATAAAGAAAAAATGAATTTTTCGAAGGATTTAAAAATTTTGTATATTTCGCTTAATTGTTTATTTTAAATTGTAAACATTAATATAAATTGTTTTATACTGTAAATATAAGATATTATATTTAAGGTAGTTTTATAATTTTATGTATTATATTTATATATCATATTTTATCACACTATATTTCATTGCTTTTAAGGGAAACAAAGTCGTTAGAAAAAGAAGCAACATCAAAGATAACGATTCGCAGACGCAATACTTTAGACAACATAATTTTTAACGAAATGTGTGACAAAGCGGACAAGGATTGCGAAAAAGAGGTAAATCAAAATATAGCGAAAGAAGGAAATCGAAAATGCAAAAGAAGTTTGAAGGTGTTGCGTGGAAGTGAAAGGGATTTAAAACTTGATATGGAGGCAGCTTATAATTATGCCGAAAAATTTAATCATTATCCGGTATCTACTCCCAATCACATGAAGGTATAAAATAAATAATGAAATTATTTCGTAATTTAATTTAAAATTTCTTTTTAATCTAAGATTTTTTTGATTATTATTATAAGAAAGATTAATTGGAAGCATTTACAGATTGAAACTCGAAATAGATTTCGTAGTTTGCGGTCAAAGCCCGTTGATATAGAAGAGACAAAAGTTGAAGTTAAAGTTGACCAACAGATTCCATTTTGCGATGAAGAATCGATCACACAATCACCAAGAACACTGAGTCTTAAAGAACGAGAAATATTTCATGATACGTTTTCCTTTTTAATTAGATTGGTATGCAGATTTTATTGCGAATATTTCAGTAAAAAATATATTTATATTAAAGATTTTTATATTTTAAATCTTTTTACATTTTATAGGGAAGTACAGAACGCAACTGCTGTAATAAAATAAGTCGTGAAGAAACGCGGTGGCAAAATAGATTGAAAGATTTAATATGGCTAGAATTACAAGCTCATCATGCCGATCGTAGTCCAATGGCTCAAGATGAGTACTTATGTAAACAACGCGAGGCTGTCGAAGGTTTACTTAAAGAAATAATGGACTACAGGTAAATTATGTAAGAGTTTAATGTATTTTTATGCTTATAAAAATAGAAAAAGAATTCAAATAAAATAATATTATTAATTTTCAGATATGATCCTATTGCGACTGTAAAAAATAATATGTCTTGGATTAACATAAATACTACATGTATTGATCCCATAGTAAATGTTGGATCTAGTCCAAATATAGAATTAGGTATTTGTCCAGGATGTCTCTCAATGTATTGTAGAGCATGTGCACGAGCACAAGGTGAAGCATTACAACAAGTAGAAGGATTATTGGCTAGACTGGAAGTAGCAGAAGCACTTTTTCCTTCATCACAAGTTTTTGCTGCATATTATCCTTTATATAAAAGTACAGAATTTACTGATCGGGTGAAAGCAATGTGTCTTTGGTATAATATGACCAAACATCATCGACTCAAATTACAAATATTGGGAAAATTACTTATGATGTTGCATACTAAGAAAAAACACGATGATACTGGAGATTCTGGAATTAGGTACCAATAACTATTACAACAAAACCCGATATTCTTAAAAAGTAAAGAATATTTTCATTTTTCTTTTTAGTTCACGATCTTCGGATACGATCGATTCTTCAGACTGCAAGCAAATTTCAATACGGTTTGAAATATCAAATCAACAAGATGAAAACTCCAGTCCTTCAGATAGTAATAATAGTAATAATTCTTCTGTTGGAATATCCCTTGCACAGTCCTGGCCCTCTACTCCTGAAACCTCATTTACATGTATGGAATATGATAAAGCTGATCGACTTGACTTTTATTTAGTTGAATTTGACCGGCAAGCTTATAGGTATTATATTACAACATCAATGAAGAATGATTTATGTATATATATTTATTTACATAGTATTATTTACATCTTATTCTCATTCTTTTTTAATTTGTAGGAAGTATATTGAAGACGTGTTAAAGACTAGAGGTTTAAGAAAAAGTTTAAATTTTCTTGATAGATTACATACTTCTGTTTTAAGGAAAGCAAGACTGACATTAGAGAAAGGTGATATATGTGAATCTAGTGATATTTTAAATGAAGAATACGAAGGTGATGAAGAATTGCGTCGATATGGCGCATGGAGTCCTGAAGCTAGAGAATTAAATCTTCCATCATATAGGTAAAAGAACAGATTTGTATACATTGTATTTTAATTTTATACTTTTTTATTAAAGAATAACAAAATTTTTTAGAGCTGCTTTTGTGTTTTTGTCTCGAGTTCCATTAGATGTTGTTCATGAATTTTTAAGAATGAGATTAGAACAAAAACCAGAACAACCTAGTCCATTATCGGTTCGACAACTTATGCGTGAACTTAGAGAAGGTCTTAAAATTGCCTGTATTCATCGTGATAGATTTGCTGCTCACTCTTGTGCAGCTGTTGCCAGTGATAATAATTCCTGTGAAAATTTATTTCAAGAAAATGTAAAAGACTTTGATGAAAGCTTAAAAGCTGTGTTTGAAGTATATCTTGATTATCTACAACAATGGGTAGATATGGTACAACATGACAGTTTTCATAAAAACTTAATCATGGATGAGTGGATATTTGTAAAATCAATAGCTGGAAATATATTAAACGGATATGAAATTGCAGGAGTTAAATTTTGGTAAGACTTACTTTTGTAATATATATCTATAATATACTTTTGTAATATATATTTTTTCATATCTTCATTTCATAGTGAAATTGCAAAAACCATGATTGAGCAAGTTAGAGAATATCTTAATGAGCGACCACGGGAAATTAAGGAATCAACTGAAGATCGGAATGATGATTCAAATAGGTAAAAATAAATTGATTTGTTTGTTTACGAAGGTAATTATTTTAATTAACGATATATGGCTCAGATTTCAGCGAATGTTTGTGGGCCGTGAATGGCAAGGAATGTTTGTAGAAGCTCGGGAGAAGATAGTTAAGGGCGTTACCATTGCTAAGTGTTTAAAGTGTGATATTAAGAAATGGTCTACTTTTAATATGGAATTAGAAAAATCATTAACAGCTTTAAAGGTAAGATTTATAAAAATGTAAGTTAAAACTGTGCCTTTAAAAAAGTATTTTGTATATATTTAGGACACAGTTATGGATCTCAGACTCGATATCAAAGCTATTATAGAAAATTTTCAACGTGATCTGAAAAAAGCGGAAGAATCACATCATAAATATGATCGATTTGCTGTACGTTCAAGAATAAGAGAAATACTTCACCAGGCTTATCGAATGGGTTTTGATTATCATAAAGAAACGTGCAAATTATTTGCATCGGAAGAAAAAGCTGTTTTGGCTCGAAGTTTAGTTTCTTTTGCCTTTTTGTGGATGAAATTTGTTAGAACACGATGTGAACGTGGAAGAGGTTTAAGACCTCGGTGGGCAAACCAAGGTTTAGAGTTTTTAATTACAGTATGTGAGCCAGAATATACTAAACATTTAACTGATGAAGAATTTAAGGAATTAAAAACCTGTATGGATCGTTGTATTTCACATGTTATTGGAAGTGCAAATACTGTCACAAAGGTCGAAACAGAAAGTAAAGTTCTATTTTTCTTATTCTATAATTGCATTTTACTTATAATGTAATCAGATGGTGGTTTAATTTACTTCATTTCAGATTTAAAAAGATTATCTCATTCAAGAGCATCTTCACCTTGTCACACTAGAAGTAGAACTGCAAGTTTAAGCCTTTCTCAGAAACCTAGAGATATTCTTAAATCTCCAGATATTCCATCCAGTTCTAAGAAAGCCGTTTCGATGAATGTAGTTGATAGAAATGTAGGTACTCTTGTAAATACATCTGACCGTGTTATATCCAGGCAGGAAAGAATTAATCAAGCTATAAGCAGAGTAGAATGCAATATTGATGATAGATTAAGGAGCCATGAACTAATTGGACAAGTTACAGATAGGAAAGCTGTTGATAGGGTTCGTATTAAAGCAAGAAGAGTTACTTTTACTTGGCAGAGGGGTATTAAAATAGGTAAGCTTTTAAATTTTTATTAAAATACTTTCATTTATATTTTAATACATACTGTAAATTAAAATTACTAAATACAGGGCAAGGGAGATTTGGTAAAGTATATACCATAGTTAATAACCAAACAGGTGAATTATTAGCTATGAAAGAAGTTCAGTTACAACCTGGGGATAATAGAGCAATTAGACGTGTTGTTGAGGAATTACAAATATTTGAAGGAATTCAGCAGAAACATTTAGTACAATATTATGGATTAGAGATTCATCGTGTAAGTTAATGTCTGTATAATGAAGCATTCTTGTTTTTAAAAACATGTCTTGAAAATATTAATTTTATTGCAGGAAGAAATGTTAATTTTTATGGAATTTTGCGCTGAGGGAACTTTAGAAAGCTTAGTAGCAGGAAGCGGAAATGGTTTGCCAGAATCATTGGTTAGAAAATATACACATCAACTCCTTTCAGCTGTAACAGTACTCCATTCTCATGGAATAGTACATCGCGACATTAAATGTGCGTCTTAGAGTATGACATAATAATATATCATGTATTATTTGTTGACATAAGACATGTTAATATTTATGTTTTATATGTAGCTGCAAATATTTTTTTAACGGATGAGGGTAATTGTTTAAAACTTGGTGATTTTGGAAGTGCCGTGCAAATTAAAGCACATACTACTATGCCAGGTGAATTACAAGGTTTTGTTGGTACTCAAGGTTAGATACAATTTTTGTTCAAAATTAAAATAAAGGCCACGAGTTTTGATTTACACATATATAATATGAAAATAACGGCATCAAACAAGATATAATGAAATTTTTACCTTCCAATAATTCTAAACAACTCGTGACCTCGAATAGTGGAAGTGCTGTATCTTGAAAAATAATTTAACGTTTTATATTTATATACAGCTTATATGGCACCAGAAGTATTTATGAAATCGGAAAGTAGCGGTCATGGTAGAGCTGCTGATATTTGGTCAGTTGGTTGCTGTGTTATAGAGATGGCAAGTGGACGCAGACCTTGGTCAGATTATGATTCCAATTATCAAATTATGTTCAAGGTATAGGAATTATATTTTATTCGTATGGTTTTCTTTTCATACATACATATATACGCACGCACGCACGCGTATATACATACGAATATATATATATATTTTTTTTGTTTGTTAATGTTGTATAATGTTATGTTTTATGTACTATTATTTTCAGGTGGGAATGGGAGAAACTCCAGCATTGCCAAAAAATCTTTCCATCGAAGGAATTGATTTAATTAAAAAATGTTTACAACATGATCCAAAAAAACGGCTAACGGCAAATGGCTTACTTGCACTTCCATTTACACAGGGATACGAAGATGTTAATGCGGATTTGTCAGTACCGCGTCAGTGAGCATAATAGAACTTCTTTCAATATGAAAGCATAAGTCTTATAACATCATTATTACCTGCATCAGGTTCAATATATTAATAATTTACATATTTCAAGATACAAATTTCCTTGATTATTTTTCAATTGTTTTTCTGTGCTCTTATTATTTATATACATTTTTAATTCCTAAAACAGAATATATCAAATATGTCGAAAAGTGTAAAAATGAGATGTCCAAATTTTAAGCAGAAATCTAATGATGCAATATTAAGATAGAGATATTTAATGAAAGAAATATATTTTTAATACATAGTATATATTTTTAATACTATAATAACAAAATGTTGTACAATTACTGATGTATGTAAATTTTTGACATTCCTACCTTTGAGAAAGGTAATTTGCATAAAAATACATATATATGTTAGTATTTTAAATTATTTTTTAATGTAAAAGACAGACTGTTTCTTTCTTTTTAATTTCACATTATATTGTGATTAAAGTGATCATTGTATTGTTAAAAGAAGGAAATAAAAATGAAAAATAGTGACACGATCGTGTTTATTCTTGCACAAGAAAACGTACACATGATACAACATACTTGCCGCAAATTAATTAATTACAGAGGTATGCTGTGTATACTTTCCATATAAACAGAAAGTGAAACGTGCTTACGAGTTTATTATTAGATATATTGCATACGAAGACGACTATTTTATGAACAATCATTTTGTTGCGATTTTATAATTGTTATGTGCCATTGTAATTTTTGTTTATTATTTTATTATATTATATAAAGCGTATGTATAATTTCACATCAACGACAGCAGTCTTCGTAAGGAATATTTTTATTTTGAAATAATGTCTAACTGAACTTTTACATATATATTATTTTAATTCAGTTGACTATATTTCGTAAGTAATTCTATAAGTTTAAAAGGATATGTTCTATTCGATAGGGTCATCGCTATGATGGCTTTCACCTGATATGCGCGATATTCTTGGCCGCGAAGATACGATCGCAATAGCTTTGCGATAGACAAATATTTTGAATAATATCCAATTCTATCTTAAATTTAATAGGTTTTATAGCTTAGGATTGCGAATACAGAACACTTTCATATATCGTACACATATACGCAAACAGATATAGATTTTTTACATTTAAATGCGTGCCTTGTTATGTGCGTAGATGTACGTGTAATTGTATGTACTATTTATATTTATTTAATAACAGTATAAGGAACCATCACAATTCCTCGTGTATTTAAACATTCTAACACAAAGTCAAAGCAAAATTGCTTAGACTTCAAATATGAAACTCGCGATTTAGTCTAATACGCAACAAATTCATCACTTAACGACATATACATAGATAAAACTCTGTTTTCGATAAAACATCTATGCTTAAGCGCAAGAAAACTTTGCCAAATCTTAATGACAATTTTAAAACACGCGTATTTGCACAGTGGAAGTATGTATTTTTAACAAAGCTAATAAACAGCTTCGTAAAATTTGAATAATGTTAACAGATGTGTCGTAATATGTAACATGTGTTACGCTATGCATATGCATAAGTGTGTATATATAACTTTCCTATTTAACTCTAAATTATGGTAAATTATAAAACTTGATACAATGGGGCGACAATAGCGGTGTCAGTGGGAGTAGCGCCGACTAATAATATTTCTATCCTTCGAAAAGAAAATCGAATTCTTCACTATCGACAGAGCTTGGTATACAAGAAAAGTAGCATTAGTTACAGTAGTAGTTAATTAGACGTAGAACATTAATGTGATAGAGAGATAGAGCTATCATCAACGTTTGCCTGTCTATCAGAGAAGAGCAAATCGCCGATCTACCTAAGAATTGGACAAGAGTTTACTGTGCGGGCGCCAACACACGAACGATTGGCCACGTTTAGAATGTGTTGCGACAGACAAGGTCCGTGCGCTAGAAATCTTTTCTCTACTTTACCGAGTTATTTAGTTTTTCAACTTCTATTCGTGTACTCTGTCTCTTCGTTGTTTCTACCGTAAACATTGTAAAACAATATCAGCTTTTATTTCGAAGAATTAAGGTTAGTATCGCGAATGATGATATATTTCGTATTCGATAACAGTTTTATAATTTTAACCTGATATGAATATAAATAAATTTTTCATTCGATAACAGTTTAGTAAATCTACTTAAACGTGTTTAAACTTTTCTATTTCACATTTAGTATGATTTTTTGTTATGAAAAAAAAAAATTCTCATACTTCATGGTTTATCAAATTCATTTGCTACAATAACTGAATTTTGTGTAAACTATATGAATAAAAAGAGTACAAAGATCTTTTTCTTTTAAGATAATTAGTTCCTAACCATTTAATTGGCACACACTATCGTTACATTTGTTTCATGTTAAAAAGCGTCATATTGCCATAGTAATCCCATTGGTAGTATTTCAATACTTAAAAATTGTTTAATGCTATAAAATTGGTTGAAATTGCAATTGACTATTGCAAGTATAAAAAAATTGTGTGTCTACAATTTGATATTTTTCGATGTAACAATCGAAACGTTACTATGCTCTTTAAACATATTCTTACTCATTCGTGGCACTATCATAAATATTTAATTGGGAATATTTTTAAATAATATGATATAATTAAATTTTAAATAAAATAATTAAGAAATATCAATCTGCACAAATAAAATCAATTTCCTATACATAAAAATTGAATTTGAAAATTTACTTATTTCTATGTACACGTACTATGTACATTGATCAGACTTTGTTAAATGAAGCTTTTTCGGAGACAGAATACCACATCTTGAATGCCTTCTTCGTTATATGCATACAAAGATAAAATATATGCTTCATAGTGAAATAACTAACAATAAAACTATATTCGTAGAGCCAAGAATAAAAAGAATTTCTATTACTTTTAAACATATCGAATTAGTCACAAATTATTTGAACTTCATAACATTCTTGTCGAATCTTTCAAATTACGCGCATTAATATTTTCATAGTTCCTAAATATCCCTAAATATCACTACCTAATCGTTCTATTATATTTAAGGTTATATTTCACTATAGAACACTTAAAGTCACGAGGTTAAACCCGTCAAAGCACCGATAGTTTAACAATATAGATTACAACGAATAATTAGACGTCATTATTAATCATTAATGTACAACTAAAATTAAGCAATACGGAAATAATGAAACTGTTCGCTTTCGGAGGAAAGGAACTTCCAGCGCTCGGACATAAACGTTCGAGGATTTTTCGTAACAGGACTAGAATTTTACAATGACCGATCGATCTATATTGCCTACTACACGTAGCGACTACCGTTTAAACATTTTTACTTCAGTTTGTTCGGATTTGGTCGCCAATTATTACATAAACATTTGTACGCGTGTTCTTAACAATGAATATGAAATTCTAGTGTCCGTGATCTGTGAAGAGTTTGTGAAGATTATTAATGATTAAATGACTATCACATAGTTTTTTTTAAATACATCAATAATTACGTAGCAACAAGTACTGTATCGATAAACATGATATTTTTATGTGCATTGCTCCTGAAAGAAGGCTTTACCGGCTAATATATAACTTATTAAAATAAATTGTGCCATTTGATAAACAATTTAAATATTTTGCAATGTAATATTGGTAGATTTTAATTATTAATGTTACTAATAAAATTAAATTATCGTCATAGAAAAATTCGTTACAAAATATTGTAATAACTTAAAGATACTAGATTATTTCCTATTTAAAAGACTACAATATATAGAATATTACATAATACTGTTTTACATTAACTAAAATATGTATATACGAAATGTTAAAAGTGAAAAGATAAATTATTTTAGTTTTTGAATAATTATATATAGAAACATAAATTTCGATTTTATTGTGAATAAATAATGTAAGTTTAATAAATATCTTAGCTATAAATTTATAAATTTAACAAATACTTTTCACTTATTTTAAAATTTCATTTGACTAGATATTTGTACATATAACGTTTAAGGAAAAGACAAAACATATCTCATCAAATTCCTAAAAGACTAAAAACCAATACATTAATTATAAAAACATGTTTCTTTCAAATTTTATAATGGCTCATAGTCACTACTATAACTTTACAATTAAAATCATATTTTTTTAAATAGATTACTATTTTTAATTATCAGTGGAATTATTAATAATATCGTAATATTTATCAAACATTTTTATTAAAAAAATACCAAAAAGAATTTCTTTAAAGTGGCACAATTTATTTAAGTAATTTCTGTTCATAAATATGTAATTTTATCATGGACATAATTAAAAAGAATAATTTGTTCGCGAACACAAAGAACAGAGTGTCGATTGTATTCGGTTTATCGGTGAAACGTCGACATCAGGAAAAACTATCTCTTACTTTGTCGAAAATGACAACGTTTACATGATGATATGTAAAATTGTTAAGAATACATCTGTTGAGATTAAGTTTAGAATGAATCTAGAAGTAGTGATGCTTTTCGAGATGATGACTAGATGACATTTTCATCGATTCTTTACTTTCTTTTTTTTTCACAAAGAGCATATTAGATCAGCGATATCTAGTAAATTGTGCGAGATCGAATTACAGTAAACGGTAACTAAGTCTAATGTAAACATTTCTCTTAAACACTTATTATTCATACTACGATAAATACTTTCACAGACAAGCTCAAATATGTCTCGTTTCGATATGATTTCCGATTCGGAACATTTTTATTTCTAACTAGTATTTTTATATCTTTCCAGCGATTTTATCACTTATTGTTAGTCGCCTGTTTATCTCTGACTTGCTGTATTCAACATGTTCGCCATGTCCCGTAGGCTTTGTTCAAGTGTTTGAGCGAATCGTGTCGCATTTGTTTTACCATCACTGTGGAATGCAGATACTGAAAATATGAAGCCTTTGCTTCTCAAATTGTAAGCGCAGCCATAACCATCTGGCACTACTGGTCCGTATCCAATGATCGCATCATT